TCACTGCGCGCTATTCCATTATTTCCATATACAAAATACTGTGACACGTCACTTTAAAATGGAATGTAAATAAATAATTAGGGCATAGGGAGCCATTGGTCCACACTTCTTTAAAAATGAAGCCGGCCATAATGTGACTGTCAATGGGGTATGCAATAGGGCCATGATTAATGACTCTTTCGTGCCTAAATTGGAGGATGTTGACGTGGACGAGCTTTAATTCCAAGAAGAGGGCGCTACATGCCATAGAGCCAACGAAGCAATCAATTTATTGAGAGAAACTTTTGTTGAATGATTGACGCCTTTGAAGAGAATATTCGGCGAGTTATTTCTGACCCACGGCCTCAATTGCTCCAAAAAATGGTCGAAAATTGGGCTTTTCGCTAAATTTTTAGCCATATATCTAAATTATATGCGTATTATTTCTTCTTGAAAACCACATGTCTAATTAAAAGTAAAGTGAAGTGAACTCAGATTTTCTATCGCTTTAAAAACAAATCCCGTTTGAACATAAATTTGAAGACCAAAAATCATGAACGAGTTTTTAATGAGAGGACGGATTTCTCTCATCAATTAAGTATTTTCCTGATTTATCACAATGTAACTATTTTCTATTTCCATCCTAGTCACTCAAGCAGCCGTAAGCGTGGTGCTGAAGAATATTCCTACTATAAATGACATAAAAAAATCTATGCAAGCATTGATGGATTGTTCCAAACGTTGTTTAAGTCTAATGAAACCCATTTTGAATAGATATTAACAGTTTTCAAAGATAATATTATGTCTATTTTATGTTATGTATTTACGAAAAGTTCGGTTGATTTAAGAAGATGCCTTGCTATATAGACCAGGGTAGATCATTTTTGAAAACAAAAAAAAAAAAGTCATAGTACGATAAAACCCATCGGAAACGAAAGATGCAATACCAAACATTGAGGGAAAAATAGTTTACGATCGATCTGAAGTCGGGAAATGGAAGCAGGGCCGTGGTGAATTTTCGAAGGTTAAAAATCGATTTTCGGCATAACTAGGAGTCTTATAAAAAAATGTATATGGCTGTTTAGTGGGGTTTTTTTGTATATTCAGAAAATATTATTTTAGGTTTCTGACTCCAAGAAAAGTACGGTCTCATTGCACACCACATGTCTGAAAAAACACCCGTTTTAATCTGATTACCTCTTTTGGTCTCATTTACAATATGTTTGCTTTGATTTTAAAATGTTCTTATTTTCGCCATTTAATAATTTTAGCTTATATGGTATACATCGAAAATGTATGCATATTACCTAAATTAGATAATTCCGATTCAATTAGTAGCTTTACGTAAGAGCATATCCTTGCTTTTCAAAACTCTGATTATAGAAATTATAAAAGTTCATTGACTGCAATCTACGCACTATTGTGAAACTCTTTATTATTTTTTAAGATAAATTAAATTTTTTATCGAGTTTCCGCTTTTATTCGTCACAGTGACCGGGTACTACGCTTGTTTACTAAATTCTCTCCGGTAATTGAATCAGCAATCTAATAAATTTGTTTTGGTCACCGATTTCAAATAAAAATGGCTAAGAATCAACTAGATATATGCACTTATTTCATATATATACTTATGTATATGTATATTCCTTGAAAAGATGTAGACATGTACTTTACTTTAATCGCCACGTTCGCACTTTACTCAGTCCATTCACTTTTTATTGGCTTTTCAGCATCAATTTTGTGGAGTTAGGATAGTCGGTTATGCTACCGTTGGCCTCTCCATCTTCCCAGCTTTAATTTTTAAAACGCTTTTCTGCCGACAACACAATTTGAATGAGTACAAATTGAATTTTGTGTTGTTTTTGCTCTATTCCGCAATATTTCTCTCATAAAATAGAGTAAACAGGAGATTATTGAATTGAGTGTAAAGCTTACAAACAATTGCAATTTTAAATTTTACAGTTCCACCCAACTACGAGATAAAATATAGCGCAGTATTGCCACCAGATTAATATGTAGCATTTTCTAATAATTTCAGAGCCCTTGAAATTTAACTACACTGACGAACAGACTGAACCATATCGTGGTGGAATATCGTCTATTCTAGCTTAATATAATGAAAGTTTTTTTTACAAAGGTAAGGTAAGGTCAGAGTTTCACCGGACAAAAACTTAAGGGTGTCATCTTTACTGATCTGGAGAAGTTTTCAAGGAAAAATAATGAATTCTAAAGTATCTTATATTATCCTAGGGGTCTGAGACTAATAATGATACAAAATGGGGACGAATGGGTTCGATTATTATAATATATATGGTTGGATACCCCTGTGTGTGTATATATAATCGTTATACTCTGAACTGGGTGTATTAAGTTTGCAACAAAGTTTGTAATACCCAGTAGAAAACATCGGAGGCCTTATATATATAATATATATAAATGTTCAGCGATTAGCTGAGTTTATTTAGCCATGTACTTCTGTCTGTCTGTAGTCCTACAGTGTTTGAAATATAGATATGAATCTTTGCACACGTGTCTTTTTCTTGAAGAAGCCACTCACTTGTTGGAACCGCCGGTATCGAACCACTATAGCATATAGTTATCATACAAACAGAACGATGGAAATCAAGTTTTTGTACGGAAAAATTCTGTACTTGACAAGTTTATTGTCTAAGACAATTGTACAAATTTTGGACAAATTTTTCAGATCGGACTATTTAAGCATATAGCTGTCATAGAAACTGAACGATCCAATCCAAGTTCTTGTATGGAATTTTGTGAAGAGAATTATAGCTTCGATGCAACCGAAATTAACATTTTTCTTGGTTTGTTTTATATCGTGGATAAATGTTCAATTTAATTTGTTCACTTCGTGTTAGTTTTGGTATACTCTCGCAACATGCTGCTACAGAGTAAAATAGTTTTTTTCACCTAATCGAGATGGTAAGACTTAATTGAAGCCAGTGTAAAAATTGGACAACGGACGTGGCAACGCTCACCGTTGAATGAAATCTTATATCTCAGAAACGAATAAACCAATTTTAACCATTGTTTTTACTTTCTTTGTGTGTTGTGTTGTGAATATGGGCGAAATCGAGCTATTATAAAACCATGTCTACTTCTCATATATAAAATTTTGAATTCTGTATGATTCTTTATAGTATATAAATCAAGAGCCAATGACGTTAGGGCTATAACTTTTCAAAGACCCAGATACCAAATATGTTGACCCCAGCACATATGGTTGATTTTCAAACGAACAAATCGGCCAATCTGTGAAGTACTTTAATGAGAGTTTCTGAACATAATATGTAGTGATGGTAAAAATGATTAACGTCTTTCTATACTTAAAAGAAAGATTTTCGAACTTCCTGTTGTTGTCAATATGTGAGATATCTTAAAGAGGTTATCAGATTATTTCGCTCTCAAAATAGTGTTATCTTATACATAAAATGGCTGAAATCGGGTCAATAATAACCCTAGCCCACATATACCTAATATACGAATATCCAGCTTCCGGTTGAATTTATATATATTGGTCAACAAGTAATATGTATAAACAAAGTTAAGTGAATATGTAATATTAGATATACTACTGCTTAATTATGTAGTTGATTTTTCCTTATATACCCAATATATTGACTTTGGTCTCTTTTGTTGAGTTTATACCACATATATCTCAGTTTTAGTTTCCTGACTTGTTTTTTTTAGTAATTAAAACATTATTTTATATTTTCATTTTTGACATTAATTTGGCATTTACAACCGTAAAAATGGTGCAAAAGCTGTAAAACAAAACTTGGAAGCTTCAAAATAAGTTTCATTGCATCTTCTCTCAGAAGCCTTCGTCCCTTGAGGAACCAAAATAAATCACACAAATCAGATTTTAAGGCACTTTCTTGAAGGTATTTTACTCTTGTTCTTTAATGAATACAAACAAATGTAGACTCAGCGAAATGAGTAGTCATTGCAATTAATATATTGATATATATATTATATATATATCTCCGAAAGCTAGGAAGTACATATGGAAAATATAAACTCTATTATGTTTCAAGGGAATCATTCTTATTCAAATGTTAAGCCTCAGCATATACTGATTACATATGACCTATACATTACGGTCATTCTATCGAACATATCCTACAAAACCTGCCGCACTATTTTCTTCCATACAGTTTTCAAGGATACCTTTACATAACCGCTAATTTCTGAATACATTACATAAACAGAGAGAGTACCTATTTCAGATTTCTTCAATTTATGGTGATGAATCATGAATATAGGTGTGTGAGTTGTTTGTTTTCGTCTTTGTCATAAATATAAGTAAGAAAGGTGGTTAGATTAGTCTTTGTTCAAGCAATCGAATCGATTGTTTAGACATGATGTATTCAAAAAAAAAGGATCTGGTTTTTGATTGTAAATTTTTTTGGAAATGGAATGCTTCAAACTTCCTTCGAGGGATGCAAAAATCTTCTCCTCCTTAAAATTACAATGCAGAAATATCACAATATAATTCAGTTTTTCTGTTTGGATTCCAAATGTGCGAGTCCTCCACAGTCAGACGTCAAAGGACGTATTGCTTTCCACCTACTATTAAAAAATTATTAAAAAAGAAGCATTTGCGGCCTTTGAATAATCTAAAATCACTTTAATTGCGTTTTGTGCCCTTTTAGTGGGCTTCGAATAATTAATAGCAATCTGAGTAAAATCGTGTTGCAAAAGGCTTTCGTAATGCTTGATACTCAAAGCATCCCATTTAATTAGATTTCAATTTAAATGCATTAAGATTTAATTTCCAATAAGCGACAAATAAATTCAGCCAACCAAACATCGCCACCCACACACGCCCACACTTCTGCTGACCCATTCTCTGCATGCGCTCGAGGGTCAAAAGCACTTAATGTCTACAATCGTCATGCCGCAGCGTTGTCGACGTACAAAAGTTTTTGCAAAACTTTCCCGCGCACTTAACACAAATACGAAAATCCCCGCCATTTACTCTTTTGTTTCTCTCATTGCAGGACAACATGGCGGAACTCCGGCAGCAGGATGTGTTTAATCGCGAAAGCAGCGAAGAAGACCAAGATGACGCCTTCCATCGCTGGCTCACGTCCACCGAAATTAATGCCAACAACAACAATAAGAACAACAGTGGTAGCTTTACTGATTATAACAACAATTCCTCGGAGTTAGAGAGCGCGAATCCAGCACGTCGCACAGATTTGTCCGGTCTCGCCGGGACACAAACTATTAACGCAACGACCGCAGCAAAAACAATAAACGACACGAACGCCACAAGGGGAACGGGCGGTAGCGGTGGCGTTGGCCTCGGCAGAAATAATAACAATAGCAAAATTGATAACGTTTACTTTCGCAGTTCCTACAACGATTACAGTAGTGAATACAATGGCAGCGTGGTGAATATCGATATATTGCTCACCACGGCGGATGAGCAACAACAAGCTCAACAACAGCATAAGGCCGATTTGATTACGCAGTCAAGCAGCAATTCACAGCAGGCGGCAAGCAGCAATTCCAGCACAGTGGTGGCAATAAATGCAACAACAACGTTACCAATTACTGGCGTTCAAACGAGCAGTCCGGAGCGACAGTGCAATGTTATGGGTAAGTCTAGTATCAAGCATGTAGCATATTAGAGTGGTGCGGAAAAGAGTTATGTATCGCAGAAGTCAAGGTAAAAAGAGCTGAAATCTAGAAAATCCACTAAAAATAGTCTCTGCTTACGATTAACATTCACTCTAATATACATATACTTATATTCGTATACGGTCCTTTCTTCGTAAATGCTGAATTGAATTTCAATGCGATTTTCCATGCTGTTATGCTCATATGTGTAGGCTATTGCGGCCTTCTGTGTGTGCATTGAAGCACGATTATCGGTGGCATTTGTCAAGTCAGCTGCCGCTGCGATAAATTTATACCACATCATAGCACAACTAATTGTTTGGTGACTCTAAGCAAAGTTACGCACATTTAAATTTTATTAACAGTACCTTAATTAAATTTGTATTGCGGATCTTGGGAAAATTAATGTTGTTGTCGACAAGGATAATCTCAGTTTAACTAACTTTAGCATTATGGTTCTTATATTTTCCTATAAGGTAGCAAGATTTTATTGTTTTTTTGCTTCATTTTCGGTACTATTAATCCGATTTTGTAACTATTACCTTTAACCGTTATAGACTATCTTTTATTTTTGTAATTAAATGTAAAATAAATTGTACAATATTATGTTTGAGTATAGATTTCATGCATATTTTTCAAAGTAAGGGGTGTTTTTTTAGACGCGTGGTTTTCAATGAGGCAATACTTTTGCGAGACTTTTGACAGCTGGTAATCGATTCTTACCCAGTTTGGTTTGCCATTTCATAATGAATAGACTTACTCGGGAACGACGTTTACGTTTGTGCCAATTTATAAAAAAAAAACCAAAAAGATTCCCGAGTTAATAAACAAAATTGTCGCACTTTGAGTGATGATAAACCATTGCTGAGAAATCGTTACGTCCTCAAAAAAACACTGCTGGATGTGCTCTATGAACAGAGGGCATTGGTCCATATTTTCAAAAATGAAGCCGGCCATAATATTACAGTCAATGGGATAGCCAATAGGACCATGATTGATGATTCATTCGTAACTGAATTGGGGGATATTGATATGGACGACCTTTAGTTCCAACAAGACAGCGCCACATGCCGATATCATTTTTAAAACATGATGAAAAACCCTCACCTTTATAATAAAGCTAACTCTTAGCCATAACAATAAATTATATTTGTCTTAATTCTTCTTGAAAACCACGTATATATTTTATTACCAATAACCGGATACTCGATTAAAACATAGGATATACAATAACAATAATAACAAGAGCACATTCAATACTTACATGAATTCGTATTCTAGACACTTGAAAACATCAATATTTGATAAGATATCCAGAGCAACAAAAAATAAAATTTGTTTGTAGAGCTGTGTTATAGTAAGAACTAAGCAACATTCAACTCGAAGTTGTGTTAAATGTGTCATACCTTTCAAAGCTTTTGCGTAAATACCGAAAATAGAGATTTTCTAAAAACATCAACAACAACTTATTGCGGAACAATCTTGCCTTTGGTGAGACCTCGGCCAAATACTTTATTTGGCGGTCTCATTTTGCGGTCTCACACAACGTATTACCCGAGAAAATTTAATAAAACTTTTACTTACATACATACCATACATACGTTCTCCTGGATATTGGGTTGTGAAACAAATGCTGTCCGTATTTATGGTAGTTTGAGGTAGAAGGAGTCGAGCAGGCAATAATTAAGCTTTCTGCACAGAGACGGTGAGAACAAGCGAAACACATTTTAAAAGCAAACAACAACGACCTTGAACTGCGGGCAGCACCATATAAGTGTTGGTTGCTATTGAATAGCGTTCGCCGCCGTTTGGGCAAAATTATGATTCTTTGTTTTTGTAATTTGAGCGCTCGGAACATTTGGAGGCGTCCACTTAAATTTCGCAGCACCAGCTACTAAACGTTTGAGGGAGGTTTAAGAAGCGAATGTATTCTGAAACAGCGAGCCTTCTGTTGAGGTACCTTATTAAATTGCCTCAAATAATTTCAGTGAAATAAAAATAATTTTTATTTGATTATATTTATTGCTTTGTTTCATTAACACAATTCAAGTTAATTTTATTAAATTACTTGTAATCAATTTAGCTCTGCTTTCTCTTTCTTAAAACAACTTTCAGTTTCAATGAATTGAGAAGTGTTTTTGATTACGTTATAATCATTACCAATGCTACTGGAACAACATTTTTATTTTTTTGTTTTTTTTCGAAAAATATTTTACCATTTTCATTACCTTCCGTCTACCAGACCACTGTAGTGTCTTCCTATAGACTGTAGAACATCTTCTATGCAAATGCAAAGCCTTGTATAGGAAAATAATCGCAACTATCGGTCGGAGATTTCTTAATGATGTTTTGGAGGTGTATCATCAGACAGCCTCCGTACCTATCTAAGCCTGGGCATATATTGTACAATATTAATATAGATGTGTGGTTCGTCTGCGTTGGAATTGCTTGGACGATGTCTTCTATGCATGTTATTTGATGCCATCAGTGCATTGGCTGAAAGTTATGATTCAGGAAAGGGCCAACAGAAGAGATTTCTTCGAAAATATTCCAACGGAAATTGCCTGAAGCTTAGCTTTGTTTTAAAAATAAAGGTTTGCACGTTTTACTATTAAAAACTTACTCCAGGTAGTTTTTGGTATAAATATTAAAATACGTAAGACTTTTGCTTTAAAGTAGAAAGTACAATTCAAACTGTTTTATTGGTTATAACTAGACAGTGTTGATATGATACAGTGCGATCAAAAATTAACATTTATGTTTGCCAAAATGTAGGAAGCGGTTGTTCAGAAAATTTTTTTACTTATAGAAAATACATTGTTTTGCTATAGTTGACGTTTATTCAATACTGGCTGCAACCTCCCGCGTTTTCTAATATAGCCTCACATCTTTGATGACAACTTGCCACTAAATTTTCCGCATATTTCACATGACACCGCCCAGGTATGTTGGAGTAGCCAAATGAAATCTTTTGTTGACGTTAGATATTTTCTTAATGTATTGACTTTCATTAAAGCCCACACATTCTCTATTGGATAGACGTCTGGTAACTGTGTTAGCCAATCCAAAGTAACAATACGATTTTCTTGTTACATTTGAGTACAGAGTCTTGCATTATTCAATCATGGCTATTTTTGCTATATTTCAGCTGACTTCAGTTAACCTTCTATAAAAAGTTTTGTGATTCTAACGGCGTTCAGATGTTCTGTAAAGCATCACAAATCCCAAAATTCATGAGCAGAGAGACAGCCATCAGCATGCACCTTTTGCCGTGCTTAACACTCTTTTGAACAAATATTTATCCTTTGGTTAGCCAAACACGTCCCAATACAAAAGTTGAGTCATGTGGAAATATAACATTCTTCCAATCACAGCTGATGTATTCCTGTGCTGAATGCAAAATTTTTTCGATGGGAAGAAGATTGAAAAAGCTTACCGAATTGTACACGTCAGTGATCGCAATTGAACATGTGTTATTTTGCAAAAAAATAAAAAACAGTTTTCTGAGAATTGATTGCGCTAAGGAAAAACGTTATTTTTGGAACGCACTGTATTTTAAAACAAATTTTTTTCACAATAGTTTTTGGCATCAACATTTCCTTTACAGAAGGCAAGGCTTTTGCTTTAAAGTGGAAAGCACACTTCAAAACGAGTTTATTGACACTAGAATATTAAGACAGTGATATAATATATTTCTCTTTTCGGTTCAACAAGTTCATTGAAATATGCAGAATCCGAAACAATTAGATGTAGATAACATTTCTTGGCAAAACTCGGTTTTGCTTTCCAACTTCCTGATAACACACTTGGTGATGCTCTAAAATAGAAGAGGCCTAAGGATAGAAAATATCGCTGGTTCCGGGACTAGGTGACATCTAAGCGTTTTTTTGGTATTAGCGAAAGTTTGACATCAAAAATTTGTGTTTAAATAACATACAAATATACTTCGTATCTACTTTTTCTCCACTTGTTATTTATTGTTTGAAGAACCATTTAATTATAAGCAAAAAAATTAAAATCTAAAGAATTTAATGTATTCTAATGTTCCTCAATAATCGACTATTCATTTCGCAAAATTTTTAATTTCGGAGGTGTCCTGACAAATATGCACATATCTCCGAAATTATTTGTCGGATCAATTTTAAATTATCTGAGAATATTCTCATACATATAAGTATGTTCAATATATATACCAGAAAAAAGAGCTTTTTTCGAAATTCACAAGCGGATATAACCCCTTAAGGTCTTTTGTTGATCTATCTGAATCGAGGAATATTAGGCATAAAATTAGAAGCAGAATTAAGTTTCGCAAGATAAAGAAAATGTGGTTACTAGTTGCTAAATTAAATTAAAAATCGCAGACAGTCGCAACAGTCAAGACAAAATGCGATAAGAGGAGGTGAGAGCAGATGCATTGTAGTAATACACAATTTTTTTAAACGCCGAATGTGTCCGGTTTCAACGACGGTCACCAAACGAAAGAGAAACGTCATGTCCAATATATCAGGCAGGCCTTTGAGATACCTTTTGTCGCAACTATATCGTGCGTCTTCATTCGGCGGAGATTGTGTTTGTTTGTGTCGAGCGATGAAACTAAGTACTTATCGGACCACCCTTGTACAAAAAGGTGCAACAAAAAGAAACTTTTGAGCACTATTTTAAAAAGTAATAATTACGAGTATATCAGAATTCACACATAATGTATTTCCTGTGAAAATATTATATACAATTCTTAGCGTATTAATAAGTTGATATTGATTAGCTTTTACAGTTACTATGGTTGCTTTGACGCGACTTCCACACACGGGCTCGTATGTAGCCCTACTCATAAACTCATGCATACTCGCACTCGCATCTTAATATGTGTTGCTAATACTGCTGCTATTTCAGGTTACACCTTGAGGGCAAATAAAATTTAATGCGAAAACTTCTGAACGCATTAAACTTGTGTAATTTCTTTCAACTTCTCTAATAACATT